ACCTTTTCTCTGGCGGCATCAATTTACTAGAAAACATTCTAAAGAATTTAACCAAATGTCAAAGCATAAAGCCTTTTAAAATGACCTTCAAGTCTTAAAATTTTCATTGTATTTTAGGATTGAAAGGAATATTACAGCTCATCTAATCCCCCATCTTTAATTCATAAGCACAGAAACATACGTCTAGAAATATATGGGACTTGCCAGTTGGTGGCAAAGCTTTACCTAAAACTTATCTCCTAACTCCAGAGTCTTGTCCCCTAAACCAAGCAAATACGGTTGCAGAAATCACAGTTTGGGAGATGAGATCTATGGACTAAAATAATTTTTAGAGAAAAAAACTAATTTAAATTTCAAAATTTAATTTCTAGGCCAAGTTGAAAGTCTATCACTCTTTTGAGTTTGCTCCTATTCTTTTCCCTTTCTCAAGGTTGTTTGCACGCAAAAGAAACTGTCATAAGTTTTGAGAAAGACATGGCTGTCTTTCTCAGTATTTGTTCTATTAGCTCAGTCTTTTCCAAAGTAAATCCTACAGGACACTAGTTCCATGGCCATTAACAGGCGATACGGACAGTTAAGTTGTACAGGGATGAACTAAAGTCAATCAGGTTTGTTTACTGAAGAACTTCTCAAAGCTATTTCAGTAGTCCTCCCACGTATCTGCTGTGTTGCTTTCCGTGGATTCAGTACCTGTGGTCAACTGCAGCCCCAATATATATATATATATATATTTTTTTTTTTTGAGATGGAGTCTTGCTCTGTTGCCCAGGCTGGGGCACAGTAGCATGATCTTGGCTCACTGCAACCTCGATCTCCCAGGTTCAAGAGATTCTCCTGCCTTAGCCTCACAAGTAGTTGGGACTATAGGTATGCACCACCATGCCCGGCCAATTTTTGTATTTTTAGAAGAGACAGGGCTTTGCCTTGTTGGCCAAGCTGGGCTCAAACTCCTGACCTCAAGTGATCGGCCCACCTTGGCCTCCCAAAGTGCTAGGATTACAGGTGTGAGCCATTGCACCTGGCCTGCAGCCCAAAAATATTAAATACAAAATTCCAAAAATAAACAATTCATAAGTTTTACACTGCATGCTGTTCTGAGTAGCATGATAAAGTCTCATCCTATAACACTCCGTCCTGCCTGGGAAGTGAATCATTCCTTTGTCCAACCTATCCATGCAATAAACACTACGAGCCTATTAGTAGCCCTCTTGGTTATCAGATACACTGTCGAGGGATCACAGTACTTTGTGTTCAAGGTCCGTAGTAGCCTAATACTATATCACAACACCTATATCATTCATCTCAGTTTATCTCATCATGTAGGTATTTCATCATCTCACATTATCCCAAAAAGAAAGATGAGTACAGTACAGTAAGATATCTTGAGAGAGAGGGAGAGCAAGAGACTATATTCACCTAACTTTTATTATAATATATTGTTATAATTTTCTATTTTATTATTATTGTTACTGATCTCCTGCTTTGCCCAACTGATAAATTAAACTTTATCATAGGTATGTATGTATAGGAAAAAAAACAGTATATACAGTTTGGGTTGAAGACCACCCAAGGTTTCAGGCATCCACTGGGGGTTTTGGAGTATCTTCCCTGAGGATATGGGAACTACTATAATATGCTTTCATGTGTTAGATCGTACAAAATAATACCTTCAAATGTCTCTTACCACTTTTCAGGAAATCTACATGTGCATCCTTGTGATGAAGTAGTTCCACATCATAATTGGCAGATGTGTTAGCATGCTGTTCTTCCTTGAAGTAAAATTTCAAACATTTAAGATAATTTGATTTTGCTTTCAAAATAATAAAATTAATTATTCATTTTGCTTTTTGTTTAAAATGAGGTCAAATACATTAAATAATAATTAGGTAAAATAACAGGACAATCTATTTAAAGATGCACATTTTCCATGCAACATAAACTCCATTAAAAAACTACTGGCTATATATAGGTAATAAAGCATTTAATGATTTTTTTTATATTATGTCAGAATTAACAAAGATGACCAATTCAGAAATTTTGAATTCATTTTTACTCCAAATGTGTTGTCTTGCCAATATTTTTAATATACAAATAAAATGTAGTTGAAACGATTTATATAAATTTAAAGTGAAATCATTGTTAAAAAGAGGAAATAGCATCTTTAAATACCTACAGTGAATTAGCAAATGCCAATTATATAAAATACAAACTAATAAACAAGTTTAGAAACTTGTTTTCAGTAACAGCAAATAGGAATTTCAACATTATTTTCCAAAAAACACAGATTGAAGAGTCACACCAGTAGCACACAAATATGATCAAATTTAACAGGCAAGCTATCAGATTATTTTTCTTATAACACATGACATTATGTATATTAAAGTGTACCTATTATGTTATTTACTTGTTAATTGCTTCTGCATCCAAAAGGTTCTACAGGGTATGCCTAAAATTTGTATTGAAAAATCAGCCAATGGCATTAAGAAATTAATAAAAAATTATATTTCTCATACAATTTATTGTTCATGATACAGTGGCAGAAAATAGAAACTGGACTGTAACAAAAATTTGAATTTTGATATAGTGGCTACTTTATGTTTGCAACATAATCAACACAATTAAATTCAATTTCACTCAGTACAAACTCATTTGAAGCTCATTATAGGCCAGGCACTGTGCTAGCCCTAAAACAACTTTGATAATATTAATATAATGAATAGGTAGCAACAGATTCCTTAAAAAAATCCACCAGTAAAATCACAGGGCACATATCTATGGTCTTTCACTTAGAAAGTAATAAACTAGTTTAAAACTATGAGCTATTTTATCCTAGTTAGACCTATTAGCTATAAACTCCTTTATACTGGGTGGGCAACAACAAAAATATAGAGAATAAAAGATCCACTAGAATATGCAAAGTAAGCAAAATCTAATAACACAGCTGTCAGCAAAGAATCACAGAATAATAATTTAAAACAGAATATAAATTTTGATAAAAACAATAGGAGCACAATTTTTTTAAAAAAAAAAGCTCGGCCGGGCGCGGTGGCTCAAGCCTGTAATCCCAGCACTTTGGGAGGCCGAGGCGGGTGGATCACGAGGTAGACAGATTGAGACCATCCTGGTCAACATGGTGAAACCCCGTCTCTACTAAAAATACAAAAAATTAGCTGGGCATGGTGGCGCGTGCCTGTAGTCCCAGCTACTCGGGAGGCTGAGGCAGGAGAATTGCCTGAACCCAGGAGGCGGAGGTTGCGGTGAGCCGAGATCGTGCCATTGCACTCCAGCCTGGGTAACAAGAGCGAAACTCTGTCTCAAAAAAAAAAAAAAAAAAGCTCATATAACATGTTCTTATTAGAAAACAAAAATATAGCACTTTATTCTGTGATCCTTTCTGGTTGCTTTTTATTATTTACTGACCTGGTCAAAGACATTGCATGTGGGCTAGCAAAATAGAAAATATGATATAGGGAGAAAAAGGTAAAGGTTCAATTAAAATAAATAACACATGTCAAGCAATTATTTATTTTTTTATTTATATATTTTTTTATATTGAGATGGGATCTTACTATGTTGACCAGAGTGGTCTCAAACTCCTGGCCTCAAGTGATCCGCCCATCTCAGCCTCCCAAGGTGCTGGGATTACAGGCATGAGCCACTGCGCCCAGCCTCAAACAAATATTTAAAAAGCAAAGCAGGGCTTTCAAAACAGCAAGAAAAAGAACTGCCTACCTTCATTGGAATATTTGTAATAGTAGTTGAAGCCAAGTCAAAATGTTGCTGTACTAAAATATTCAATTTGGTAGCAAGATGCCGTCCTGCACGAACACTATGAACTTCACTGGTTAAAACTGGGGACAACTACAGAAACATATGCAAGAAAAACAAACCACAAAATATTAATTCATTGTAAATGAGTGCTAAATATTTTACTAAAAATCCATTAAAATTAAGTATTTTTAATTTTTTGAAGGTTGAAAAAAAGGATCCATAAATTAAATTTTAGCAATACATTTTCATGCATTCATTCATTCACTCACACATACGTATTAATCAGTTTGCTATATGCCAGAAACTGTGAGTTGATAGAACACAGCTGTGATAGACATAAACCCTGTCCTCCTGAAATTTAGAGTAGAATAGTCTGTTATTTAAATATACTTCTTTTTTTTTTGAGACAGTCTCCCTCTGTCACCAGGCGCCAGGTGCCAGGCTGGAGTGCAGTGGCATGATCTTGGCTCACTGCAACCTCTGCTTACTGGGTTCAAGCAATTCTCCTGCCTCAGTCTCCCAAGTAGCTGGGACTACAGGCATGCACCACTGAGCCCAGCTAATTTTTGTATTTTAGGAGACAGGGTTTCACTATGTTGGTCAGGATAGTCTCGATCTCTTGACCTCATGATCCGCCTGCCTCAGCCTCCCAAAGTGCTGGGATTACAGGCGTGAGCCACCGCACCAAGCTAAATATGCTTCTTTATAATTTTTACTTATTTTTATCGATATGCAAAATGGATTTGAAGTATACTATAGAAAAAATAGTTTATTTTGTCGGGAGGACAAACCCCTGCAGATAAAACTAAAAGAATGTGGAAATCACCACAAAAATTTCATTTTGTCACCAATAAATAAGGCAGCCAGAGTAGTATACAAGATAATACAAAATCTTACTTATTTGAGGGCAATAATATTTATTAGAAATAAATTTCTCATTATCATAAAACTAACATTGCCACATTATCAACAGAGGCAGAAAAAAGTTAATGAAAAAGAGGCTTACACTGGAACTACTTAAAAACACAATGATAGCAATAATGACTAAAAATACTACTTAACTACAAAAATTTACGAAATAAGGTAATATTTGTTCTTATTCAAACGTATTTAAAATGTAAAACCAAGGTTGGAAGATAAGATTTTTCCCTCTGAATGTGAAAAATTAATTTTTTATTGGAATATATTTTTGGTAAAAAATGTACTGCTTTTCTAGTAAGGAGAAAATATTTTTTTTTTTTTTTTGACCTCTGAACTTTTTATTGGCCTCCTGCTCCCCCAAGGGTCCCCTGCTTCTGCTGGCCTAACGTCTCAAAACTTTGGTGTCATTGGTCTCAGACACAACTTTGCCATCCACTATCTGGCAGGTGGTCGTCTTTTGGATGGTTTGCATGGAGTTGCTGCTGTTCAACGCATCACTAAGACTGAAGTCCTCGCCATCTTCCAGCAGGTGGCGATAGGTGGCGATCTCAGCCTCCAGCTTGACCTTGATGTTCAGCAGAGCCTCGTACTCCTGGGCCTGGCGCTGTCCCTCTGCCCGGGTCTGTGCTAGCTCTGACTCCAGGTGTAGCAGGATCCCTTTGAGCTGCTCCATCTGAAAGGTGTAGTGGGCCTCCCTCCCTCAGGCTGTTCTCCCAGCTGATCTTCGTATCTCTCATGGAGTCCAGGTCGATCTCCAAGGACTAGACTGTACATCTCAGCTCTGTGAGCATCATCTCAGCAGCTTCCACCTCAGTGGACTGTGTGGTGACTATTGTGGTACTCTCCTCAATCAGCTGAGTCCGGTACTTGTCTAGCTCCTCTCGGTTCTTCCGAGCCAGCCGTCATATTGAGCCCGGATTTCTGCCATGATCTTAGCGAGGTCCTGAGATTTGGGGGCATCTACCTCCACGGTCAACCCAGAGCTGGCAATCTGGGCTTGTAGACCATTTATTTCCTCTTCATCGTTCTTCTTCATGAAGGGCAGTTCCTCCTTGTGAGCATCGATCTCTGTCTCCAGCTGCAGCCGAGTGACATTGGTGTAATTGATGACCTTGCGGACACCATGGATGTCGCTCTCCAGACTGGCGCATGGCCAGCTCTGTCTCATGTTTGACTCTAAAGTCATCAGCAGCAAGACGAGCACTGTCAATCTGCAGAACGATGCGGGCATTGTTCACAGTATTTGAGAAGATCTGAGCCCTCAGGTCCTCAATGGTCTTGAAGTAATGGCCCCAGTCTCTGACCTAGGGTCCCTTCTTCTCCAGGTGCTCCTGGATTTTGCTCTCCAGCTTCCAGTTCTCGGTCTCCAGGCTCCTGACTCTGACCAGGTAGGAGGCCAGGTGGTCGTTTAGGATTTGCATGGTCTCCTTCTCGTTCTGGATGCCTCCCATTCCTGCCAGACCCCTGGCCATCCCCGCGGCCAGGCCCCTGACCCCATGACACTCCAGAAGCTGGTGGAGAGCGTCACAGAGACGTGGGAACCAGAGCCCCCGGCACCTGCACAGACGCTGGCCGCGCTGCTGACCGGCCAGGAGCCGTAGCTGGGCACCTGGACAAAGCCCACGGACTGGGAGTTGGTAGAAAAGGAGGAGCGAGTGGTGAAGCTCATGCTGCCAGGAAGGAGAGTGAGAGGACAGGGCTCAGGCTTTGCCAACGACCAGGAGAAAAGATTTTTATAGAATAAAAATAATCACTAAAGTAATTAAAATGTTAGGAACAATACAAACTATGTATCGTTTGTAACACATTTTGATAAACATCAAGAAGCAGGCAGAACAGAGAACACTTTAAAATCTACAATTATAAAGAACGAAACCACACCTGTAATCCCAGCACTTTGGGAGGCCGAGGCGGGTGGATCACAAGGTCAAGAGATCGAGACCATCCTGGTCAACATGGTGAAACACTGTCTCTACTAAAAATACAAAAAATTAGCTGGGCACGGTGGCGTGTGCCTGTAATCCCAGCTACTCGGGAGGCTGAGGCAGGAGAATTGCCTGAACCCAGGAGGCGGAAATTGCGGTGAGCCGAGACCATGCCATTGCACTCCAGCCTGGGTAACAAGAGCGAAACTCTGTCTCAAAAAAAAAAAAAGAACCAAACTAGATGTCTTGCCATAGAGATTTACTTTGAAAACTCAAAAAATATTTAAATATTTTCTTGGCAGAAAATATTGGCAATGGATCATTTTAATGATAACCCTTCTCAGTATTTATTATTAACCACAGTGATCTTTTCTTTCATTATTTCAACACTCACCTCTTTTTTAGGACGATCAGATACAAGGCTGTCTTCACCAACTGGGTAAGTATGGATCAAGACCAACTCACATTTTTGAATCTGCATGAGACTTAAAAAGAAACTTTTCACTTAAAATATAAGAATACATAGTATGTAAAGAACTCAGGCAGGTAAACTATTAAAACCTTAACATATTAAAACAGCATATTGCTATAATCAGATTATTACAGTTAACCCAAAAGCTGAATATTAGAAAGGCAGTGTATGTAATTGCTATATCCATATGAACTCTTAATGAGTATACGAATTTAATTGAAATGCAAAAATAATAATTTTCTGTGCCTGAAGGATAAAATAAAGAAAAATTCTTACAATTAAGTATAATTTTCAATAGATAACTGCAACAGTGAAAATGAATATATCGTGTATTAATTTCCCTTATAGTAATTTTTTTAAGGATAAAACCAGGCAATACTAACCATTAGCTATACTTAGTTATCTCTAAGAATATAAGATTGGTAATGCTAAAAATTTCCCCCAACTTTTTATTTTGAAATTTCCAGACCTACAAGCAAGTTGAAAGAAAAGTACTATTCAATGAACACCCATATGTCCTTCACCTAGCGTCACTATTAGCTATATTTGCTTTCTCTATATACTAGACCTAAGTAGATGTACACTTTTTAATTAAGCCATTTGAGATAAGTTGCAGAGGGCATGACATGTAGTCCTAAACATTTCAGCATGCTTTTCCTAGTGAGAATAATCCTACTCATAACAATTAATACCACGACCCCACCGAGGAAAATTAATAATCAATCTAAAGAAGTCCACATTGCAATAGTTCCAAACATGGCTTTATTAGCTGTGACACAATCACAAATATACAGATTGGTCTCTGCCCATACTTCCTGGCATAGGGCTCCTAAAATCTGTAACTTCCTAAATGACAGGGATGCTAGGAGCATCTTTTGCTCTAATAATTGGTTTCTGACCCCAGTTCTTGACACACAGCTCATAAGTTCCTTGGAATTTCCTGAGTGACAGGGAGCATCTCTTCTTCTACTGAGGCAACTTTAGTGGAATCCTGGACAGCTACCCAATGGGGACTGGTCACCAGAAAGATCAAGCAACAATTAGAAGCTTGTCAGCTTTCAGCCGTACTCGTCCATCCTTCAGAGAGAGGAGAGGAGCTAGATACTGAGTTAATCATCAATCATCCTCATATGAAGCCTCCATAAAATTCCCTAAACTATGGGGCTCAGAGAGTTTCAACACATCCATGTGCTAGGAGGGTGGCACACCCCAACTCCACAGGGACAGAAGCTGATGCACCTGGATCCTTCCAACCTCACTCTCTTCGTGTGGCTGTTCATCTGTATCCTTTAAAATAAATCAGTAAACTGATGTGTTTCCCTGAGTTCTATGAGCCATCAGAATAAATTATTAAACATGAGGAGGAGATTGTGGAAACACCTAATTTGTAGCCAAGTCAGACAAAAGTGTAGGTAACTTGGGGAATGACTGGTCGAGATTGGTGTCTAAATGGGGTACAGTCTTGTGGAACTGAACCTGCAATAACTAATCTGTGTGGTCTGTATTAACTTTAAGGAGTGTCATAATTGAATTGTAGAACACACAGTTGGTATCCACAGAGTTGGAGAATTCACTGGTGTGGAAGAAAAACCCAAACATTTGATCAAAAGTACTAGTGTGAGTATAAAGGAAAAAAAGTGTTTTTATTTTCAGAAACAGAAAAAGCTTTTAAAAAGTCACACAATGCAACTACTTGTTTAGATGTGGTACATACTGAATAATGCCACAAACAGCTTGCATATTTTACAATTTTTTTTTTAATTAAAATTAAATTTTTTTTTTGAGACACGGTCTTGCTCTGTCACCTAGGCTGGAGTGTAGTGGCAAAATCTCGGTTCACCACAACCTCTGTCTCCCAGGCTCAAGCAATTCTCCTGCCTCAGCTGCCTGAGTAGCTGGGACTACAGGCACTCGCCACTAGGTCCGACTAATTTTTGTATTTTTTTATTGCAACGGGGTTTTGCCATGTTGCCCAGGCTGGTCTTGAACTCCTGAGCTCAGGTTATCTGACTGCCTTAGCCCCCCAAAGTGCTGAGATAACAGGCATAAGCCATTATACACAGCACATTTTACAAATTTGAAACACGACTATATAAGAATAAACCACCAAAACAAATACACATTATAAATCTACGTATTATTTCATTCCTTTGATCACCTTTCTTGTGGCAGAAAAGTAAAATATTAAAGTGAAAGGGAAAATGAAAAAAAAAGTTTCTAATCAAACATACATTTTTTGACTAATTTGTTGAGTCAGTTGAGAATTCAGGGAAATGCTACCAATCACTTTTAAGTCACTGGAAATAATTACAATGAAATACATGTAACTATTAAAGTGAACATATTTATTTCATTTATGCATTATACTCACTGATCTGAATTTGCAGCAAGCTTGTTATGTTCATGAATTGTTTCCTGGACACAGTCTTCAAGCATTCGCACATGACTATCACTATGGCATTAAAAAGATAGAGCAAATTTAAAGGAATAAATATGAAGACAAAAAGTTCAAAACACTCTTCAGCTGTATTATCTTGTTATAGACATTTAAAGTTACTTTAATAAGGACTACATTTAGTGTGCTCAGTCAGCAAACTAAGTGAAAAGCTAGTCAGAAAAAAAATTAACCTAAGTGATTACCATCTAAACAGTTTTTGATGAGATAAGTCTTTTCTTTTTAGAATGAAACACAGCCTCAATATTAAAAGGCAAAAAAAAGAAAAAATCAGAAAGGCCACTTGTAATATGCTTATGTGTAAACATGTAAACATGGTGTCCCTAGTTTTTTGAAAAACTACAATAGGACCTTAAAATTCCCACAGTGAAAGAATTGCTGTTATCAACACCTCACCTTTTTGCATTAGTAATGCAGATTATTCGTCCTCTATTTCCAACACGTTCTGCATTCTCCATGAGTAGAGTACGAGCCTCATGTTGGTATTCGGTAATTTTGCAGAGAGTTTCCACTGCTGCAACAAGACCATGCAGAATACTGCAGCACTCTGGATCTGCCCGAGGATTAGGAGGCCCAACAGCAGCTAATGCTGCCATTAGCTAAGGAAAAGAGAAAAAAATTATGTTGACAAGAGTATGTGCAATTCAGATAAAAATATTACAAGAAAGAAAACTGTACACCAATGTATTTTACATATATGGACATGAACATTCTTAAAAAAATAGTAGCAAACCAAGTCCAGTAACACACAAAGAAGAAATATATACCATGATCAAGTGGGATTTATTCTAGAAATACAAAGTTTCTTTAATATATGACTATTAATTACTATAATACATCATATATCAATAAAATTAAAATCACACAATCATCTCAATAAACACAGAAACAGAACTTGACAAGATCCAAGACCTTTTCATAATTAAAAAAAAAAAAACCTCAATAAATTAGGAATAGAAGGGAACTTCCTCAAGAAGATAAAGGACACCTATGAAAAAACCCACTGATAACACCATACTTATTTGGTGAAAGACTGGATGAATTCTCCCTACATATCAGTAACAAAGATGTTTACTCTCACCACTTCTGAAATTGAACACTGTACTGGCTATTCTAACCAGGGCTATAGGAAAGTAAAAGAAAGAAAAGAAATCCATGCCAAGCTCAGTGGCTCATGCCTGTAATCCCAGTACTTTGGGAAGCCAAAGTAGGACAACTGCTTGAGGCTAAGAGTTCAAGACCAGGATGGGCAACATAGCAAGATACCGCTTCTCCAAAAAAAAAACACTAAAATTAAAAAATCAGTTAGGCGTGGTGCTGTTCACTTGCAGTCCTAGCTACTCAGAAGGCTGCAGGAGAAGGAGTATTTGAGCCCAGGAGTTAAGCCACTAAACTCTAGCCTGGGTGATGAAGAGAGAGATAAAGAAAGGAAAGAAAGAGAAGAGAGAGAGAGACAGAGAAAGAAAGATGAGAAACAAGGAAAAAGGAAAGAAGGCTAGAAGGCAGGAAAAGAGGGGAAGGAAGAGGAAAGAAGGAAGAAAGAGAAAAAGAGAGAGGGAGGGAGGGAGAGGGAGGGAGGGAGGGAGAGAGAGAGAGAGAGAGAGAGGGAGAGAGAGGGAGGAAGGAAGGGAGAGAGTATGGAATCCAGATTGGAAAGAAAAAGGTAAAACTATTTCTATGTTGCAGATGACATGATCCTATATTTACAAAATCCCAAGGAATCCACTAAAAAACTATTATAACTCATATACAAGTTTGGCAAACCTGTACTATACAAGATTAATACACAAAACCAACTGTATTTCTATATACATGTAATGAACAATCTGAAGACGACATTGTTTTTTAAAATCCCACTTTAAACCGGATCAAAAATAAAATACTTAGAAATAAATTTGACAAGAAGTATAAAACTTATACTCTGAAAATAACAAAACATTGTTGGAAGAAATACGAGCTAAACAAAGGAAAAAAAGCATACCATGCTAATGGATTAGAAGAGTTAATATTGTTAAGATGGCCATATTATCCAAATTGACCGACAGTGTCAACATAATCCCCAATTTTTTTGTGGATATTGATAAGGTGATTCTAAAATTCATGACATTGCAAGGGACCCAGACTGGCCAAAACAATCTTCAAAAAGAACAAGGTAAGAAGAGTCACACTTCCTATTTTTAAAACTTACTACAAAGCAATGGTAATCAAGATAGTGTGGTACTGGCATAGGATAGACAGAGACAAGGAAAGGTGTAATGTGGAAAAGGTGTTACATGGATAACCAAAGCTAAACATTAAACATAAACAAGATTATACATAATTTATACAAAATGTAAATTCTTTTACATATTCTTGAACACCAGTGATTTGCCACATAGCTGCTTTCACAACTGAAGTTTCCCCTTCCATTCACAATTTAAAAGCAATGAATGGGATATCATATACCTTCACCTTGAGAAA